TTAAATTTATTATAAAAATTAGTTACATTTTTAATATTTTCTGAAATGTATTATTTAATGTATCTTATATACAAACTAAAAGGAACATTCTTTACATATAATTCTCAAATTTCGCTATTAATTAAGTATACTGCTTTGTTAAGTATAATAATTAAGTAGTGGTTGTTGACACTCTTGACAGTAACTACAGTTCCTATCAATTCTCAAAAATTTGATGTAATTGTTATATAATCTATATCTGATTGAAGTGAATTTATATTACTTAGAAAGTGTATCAGTCCAAATTGTTGAGTATACTAAATTTATTTTTTACTCTGATAAAATTTCACAATATATCAAAGCTTAGTAATTCCTGTAGTATTTTAGGTTAGCTTGTTTGGTGAGGTTAGTTTTGTGAATACACTCAACAAAATTAGGATGGAGCATACATGTTTATTAATTATACACACACAAAGTGTAATCACGAAATTGTAAATTAAGATGTTTATATAATTCAGTAATATTATTTTTTCCAAAGTACCTTGTAAAAATTCTCCCCACTTTCTGCGTCCTTTGTCGCGGTTCGCCATATTGAAGTACAATCATATCAAAATTTTTATAAAATCAAGGAATACGATTGTGCATCTAATCATGAATTCAGTCGATAAATGAAACTAAGTATCAACAAAAACACGCAGGAGAAATTAAGATTTGACTCACTTTTGTCCTTTGAAACTGTAAAGTATTTATAAAATAAAGTTAATATATTTCTAAAATAAAATTACGAAAATTTGGTTATTTAAATATTTTGTGATTACGAAAACTTGAAAAATATATATTATTCAATTACAAAATATTCTTTCATTAATATAGTTTCATTTTATAAATGTAATGCATTAAAAATACATTATAATGGGATATGCTATACAAGAATGGACATACAAGAACAACAAAAATTTTTATAATCAACTTAAGTATTTCTTTATAATCATTATTTAAATCTTACGAAATTGAATAGTAAATTGATGCAATTTTTAAGGCGCCAATATGAAAATGTACGATTTAATTTCTAATAATAATCTTTTAAAAACAAAAAACAATAAAGCAGAATACAATGTTCAATAATAAATAGAATATAAGTTATAATTATTTCGTAATATATTTACTGTAAGTATTAATTAATAACTATCATTTCTCAAAATTAATGAATTTTATAAAATGAAAATTGAATACACGCTTAGGAACTGAACGCTGCAGCGCCACTATTTAGTCGGATTCTTAGTGAACTATGTGAAATGATTCCATAGTAGATTTTTTAAGAATCTTTAAAAAAAAACTATTAGTTATTAATTATTCTTAAAAATGAAGTTCAAATACATTTATATTTTACATAAAGTACAAAATTTTATCTCACAACAAGTGGTAATTTAATAGTTTGTAACCTCAAGTGTACTTATCTTTTTGCAAAACTGTCCATCTCACCGGTCAAATGTTTACTCCACTTTTTAATATTTATCGTACGCTAACAACTGCTACAAGATGCAAGCGGCGGGTTGTAGTAACAGGAATGGGAATAATATGTCCACTAGGAGTAGGTACGCAGCAGTCCTGGAATAATCTTATTAACTGTAAATCAGGTGTTACCAAATTGACTGAACCAGATTATGATAAACTACCATGTAGGATTGGTAAGGTTCTTATAAAATATTTGCTTCATAACTAATTTAATCATCTATATGTTTTATATACATTAAAAGTAATTATTTCCTAACAGGAGCATTAATACCTAAAGGAAAAGGTGCTAATGAATTAGACATAGAGTCTTATTTCTCAAATAGTGAGTTGCGCACAATGTGTTGTGCTACTGCTTATGCTTTGATAGCTACTGAAATGGCATTAAATGATGCAAAATGGAAACCAACTGATGAGATAGACAAGCAAGATACAGGTGTGGCTGTAGGAGTTGGAATGATAGATTTAGTGGATGTATGCGCATCATATGAAGCCTTAAAAAAAGGGTATAACAAAGTCAGTCCTTATTTTATACCAAGGATTTTACCTAATATGGCTGCAGGACAAATTAGTATTAAATATGGTTTTCGTGGACCGAATCATTCAGTATCAACAGCATGTGCAACTGGAGCACATTCAATTGGTATAAGTCTTAATAAAAATAAATAACGTATTAAAAATATAAAATAAGTAATGCATATATTTTGTAGGTGATGCATTTCGTTTCATCCGTGGTGGACAAACATCTGTAATGGTATGTGGTGGAGCAGAAGCATGCATAAGTCCTCTTGCTATAGCTGCCTTTTGTAGGCTTAGAGCGTTAAGCACTGCAAGAAACGATTGTCCTTACGAAGCATCACGTCCATTTGATAAAGATAGAGATGGATTTGTTATGGGAGAAGGTACAGCTATATTGGTATTGGAAGAATTAAACCATGCACTTTCAAGAAATGCTAATATTTATGCAGAAGTATTAGGATATGGTTTATCTGGTGATGCGGCACATTTAACTGCACCCAGTGAAGATGGTACTGGTGCTATATTAGCTATGGACAGGACTGTGAAAGATGCTGGTATAGATGCCACAGAAATTTCTTTTGTTAGTGCACATGCAACTTCAACTCCATTAGGTGATGCCATTGAAATAAAAGCTATAGAATCATTTATGGGTCAACACAGTAGAAATGTAACTATTTCTAGTACAAAAGGAGCTCATGGTCACTTACTAGGTGCAGCAGGAAATTTAGAAGCTGCTTTTACTATTTTGGCCATCAAAGAAGGTGTAATTCCACCAACAATAAATTTACATAATCCAGACACAGAAACATGCTTGAATTTTGCTCCAAATGCAAAGAAAAATTGGAATTGGGTATCAAGACGTGTAGCTTTAAAAAACGCTTTCGGTTTTGGAGGAACAAATGCATGTTTGTGCTTTGGAGACTATGAAAAATAAATTCATTATTTAACTAAACTTATTACGAGAAGAGGCATAATATGCAACATAATGTGAACTAGTCATTCCTTTGTGTACATTAATTAATACATACATTGTGCCTACAAAAAAGTGTAGACTGTATATATGTAATTTTCTTCATTCCAACTGGAATAATTACAATACCTTAAATATTTATATTTTTATATAATATAGAACATAAAACTGATGTAATGTATATTTTATAAAAAAAAAGAAATAGATTTTTGTATATTAAAGTTGTTATATGAAATTGTATAGAAAGAATATAATTTGGAACAATATAATATGGAATGCAATATTTACTTTACAGTTGTTTTTTAATATTCTTGTATCTGTTATTATTACAACATCTATGTTCAAGTTGTACGAAAACAAACTAAATTTTTTTGTTTTTTAAAAAATTAAAACAAAAGTATGTAGTAATTAATGAAAATCACTTTCCACAAAATTGTTTACTATGTGCAATTGAATCTGATTTACTAATTTTCTACTTAATACGTGCTCATACAAATTACCATACTTAATCATACAAGTATAAAGAAATAAGTCTCCTTTAACTCCGGACACACACACACATTGACATAATACATTCATTTATACAATTAATTTCATAATTTGTTTTCTTGAAATCATTTGTCAGAATTAATCGACATTATATTTTCAATTTAATTCCTTTATAATACATTTTTCATCTACAAATTGTCTTTTATTTCTTTTGAATTGAGCTGTATAGAAAACAACAAAATTCAAGGCATAATCGTTTCGTAGTACCTCTAGTTTATTAGATGTAGTTTTCTTCTTGCAGATGAACCATATCATACGACGTTCTTATGATGTACATCTCCAACGATATTTTATTCACACAGGAAGGTTATCCTCCAATAATAACAATTATCCAAAATACATCTATTGCATTCGTGTGTCTCTACTGGCAGTAAATCAATGTAAAAAAGAAAGATTGTATTCTATTAAGTATCTGTACCTAGTAGAAATTTTTAATTAGGAATGGTAAAGGGTTTGTGATGGCTGCATAAGATAGCGAAACGTTTTCTAAGTGTTTGACGAAGTTCTTGTCGTTTTTCAAGAACTTGGCACATTCGTGATTTAAATTCCAATACTTCCTCTGCTGGAATATAACTTTCTTTTTCTTCATCATCTGACACATGGGATTCCTGTGAAGAAATAAGTTGTATTACATGTAGAAGCAGTACATTAAATAAAACTGCAATACAAAAGAATATAAAACGCATACTTCTAACATCTGTGTAAGTGTTAGACCGCCACCTTTTTCCTTTAGTAAGGAGATACTAGAATTGGAATGAACAAGTTTATCAGATGGTCGTATATCATGACAATCTCTTTCATGGTTACAACATCCATCACTGCAAGCTACTTCTGATCCTTCTGGTGTACTAGGAAGAGAAGAACTACTAATATTGTGTTCTGAAGAATAACCACAATCTTGTGATGATTGTTCACTTGAAGAACGACTTTTTCTATCCGAAATTGATAATTCAAAACGTTTTTTCATTTCTATCCACATGTATCTTTTACTTGGTTTTCCTATCCAAGCATGCACTATATCTTTAGCCATTGGGTCTTTACAGTCCTCTAGACTATGCCAGTCATCATCTTCAATTTTCTCCGAGCAATCCTATACAGTGAACGACATATACATCTTCATCACATTAAAATGTATACAAAACATATATTAATACATTGTATTATTACCTTACACGATTCGTAAGCTTCAAACAGTTCTTCTTCAGAAAGATTCTTAATAGAAGTATTAATCTTTTTTGTTTGATTTGTGGTAAATTTCGATTTCAGTTCAGAAGAATCTTTTTTAACTCCATTTTTTTGTAAATTCGATGACTTTTTGGGGAATGCTAATTGAGATTGAGTTTGTGACTGTGATATACTAGATTTTGATTTTTTTATGCAATCTGGACATTTACACGTAGGTGGTCCCTTATTTTTAGGGTCTAATACTTGTAACTGAAAGTTAGATGTATTTATAATTAAACATATACATATAAATAATTAAACATAATATTCATCCAATACCTTATGTCGATCTATATTTTGTGTTGTAGGTTTTGAATCTGCACAAATACACTGTGCTTCACTGTTACCACTTTGCCTTTTGCTTAAACACTAAATACAAAAACTAAATAAGTAACGAAACACACTTATTAATTTTAGAAGTTTAAATATTTAGAAATAGTTTACCTCACATGCATTTTCTTTTTCTTCTGTTTCGTAACGCCGTTCTTTCTTCTTCTTGCGTTTTAAACGTAACTTTTCCCGTCGTTGTTTCTCTGCTATTTCTTCTCTGGTTAGTTCTTCATAAAGAAGTTCTAATTGAGAAATACCTTGTTTAACTTCTACAGCCATCTATAAAGAACCATTTAACCATGTACAATCGCATTTGTTAATGCACATCAATTATTAGCTTCATTGTTATACTTGAAAATTTCTGGACAATGCATCCACTGCAACAGCAGCTAACACTTTGCATACTGTTTCTTCTTCCCTTAAACGTCGATGTACTCTATGCAAACGTTCAGCGACACATATTCCTAAACATGTAAGTACCTCTTCCTGAGCAATTTCTAATGTCTTTGCATGTCGTTCCCTGTAATTTAGATAATTCTAAGCAAACTGAATCTTCACATGAACTATTTAATAGTAAACTTTGTCACTTATGTACCTTCCCATGAGTTCTGGTTGAGCACGCCCAATTAAAGTATTAATATAATCTGTACTAGTAGGTAAATGTACATGTCTATCTCGTATGCAACGTTTAATTCCAGAATAAAGAGCAGCAACATAACCTGTTTCTTTTGCTGGCTCTGGTTCTGTTGTTAATAAAGAAGATGCTAATAACACCTTTGTTCGACATTCACCACAAAATCTAGAAAAACACAATTTCAAAACATTTGATCAAAAGTGTCTTATATATAAAATGTATAATCTTACCGATGTTTGCGTAAATATGTATCCAAAGTGGCATCAAGTAAATCAGTTTCTATTAAAGCAAGTTCTTGACGACATGGAAGTTCCATACAATCCCATACTTCTTTCCATGCACTTGGCAAAGGTCTCATGCGTTGAATTTCCAATGAGTGTAATACACATCTCCTTGACTTTTTACTTCTGGGTTGCCTTTCAACTAAACTATTTAACCTTGTACTATACAAAAATAAAACTGTTGTACACTTTACATATTTATAGGAAATAACTTATATGTCAATTCCATTACCTGTGTCCTTGTAACATTGTACACAATAATTGAGGTGACTCCAAAATATCATCTTTTATTGACAATAATCCTTCAGGTGTAATTATCAAAGGATCTAATGCAGGATGCCCTGATTTCATCAGGTCATAGAACAATCTTTCAACACTATGCACATAAAATATAAAATATTGAATGCTTGTTACAAGCAGCTATATTATATGCACATTTCAAACTTTGTTTTACCTCCTCCTGCAACCAACGCATGGCACAGCTTGACCCAAAATTGCAAGCATATCCTTGCATGTTACTTCAAACGATGCTTTAATTTCATCTTTTGTAAGCATATCCAATTTTTTAGTAAATTCATCAAGCTGTTTACCACGCACTAACGGATTATCACAGATTGCTCCCAAACTATTTATATCCATAATCATCTACAGAAGAATTAAAGATTATTTTTATATTATCAAATTAAATTCGCTTCTAGCTTTTTAAGGAATAAAGTAGAAAACATTTCTCAAAAGTGAATGTTACTTTAGGAAACGCAAAGAAAATATATAGATATGTTTAAAAAATATTACAAGAATTTTTATGAATTTTATACAATTGGGGCTCATTTCATATATTATTTCAGACCAATATAAGAATTTATTACATCATAATCATTGGTAATTTTATCATTTAAGTTTTCGTTTCATTTGCTGCATAGTATCTAATCAAAGTATTAAAATAACTCAATTTGACATTCTTTATTTTCACAAGAAAACAAGTGAGTTTGAAACTGTAATAATAGAACGAATGGAAGTTCAAAAGTTACTATCGGTTCGCCGAAACATGAATCACGTTTGACTGCCAGCAATCAGCGATTGTTAAGCGGAATATCGATATTAAATACAGTACTCCTAATTAGTTATGCCATGGGCATGCATTCATTGCCACGTTTAGGTTAAGTCAGAAATATCATAGAATGCCATTACGTAAGTCCTATTAAGCCATTAATTTACGACAGACAAATACCGTGTTTGATAATGTTGACGGAAGAAAATCGTGCTCACCGTGAGATTCTCATCAACAATCAACGGCATTTGTCTTCGCGTCAAATCGACCGGGTCATCGTCCCGCCAAACGTTCACCAGCTTCGCCATCGCTGTTGAAGTTCTTTATTAACAACGATTCTATACAGAATAATGTTCAATCTTGCCGAACACAACGCACAAGCACGTATAATCGCAATCCACTTCCACGGATACACCAGAAAAATAAGTAGACGGTATCATACGTCTGCCATTTGCAACGAGTGGTTTCTCACTTCCGCCCTGCGTGCATTGTCCCGCTTCCCTCACTACGCGCTATCCTTATTCTAATTGCACATACCTGTTCCTAATCTCTTTCCTTATGAAGCCGTCTTTGGTACAAAGTATCGTGGGATAATTTGTTATATCAAATAAGGAAGCTATAATACATGACAATGACAATATCCAAATTAAATGTACTATTTTCTTGAAAGGGACTCAACTCATTCGCTTACAGAAAGTTCTAATAGTAGGGCCGCTGAATTCGAGCAATTTTTTTTTTAGTGAACCTAGAAATAAAATAAGCGGATACGTGTCTGAGCGCATGCCAGTGCGCATCATATTAGAAAGATATTTATCATTAAGGATTCAATAAAGGTATCTATTGACTACTCGAAGCAAAAGAGAAGATAAAATATGCCAACTTGGCAAAGGAGATAGCGTAATAGACTCAGAAGGCGGTGAAATTCATACGTTCGAATTGTTTATTTAAAATAATCCTTTTACACCTTATTCTATTCCAAATCTATTATGTAAAGAATACTAATATTTATCGTTTGTACAATAATGGTTTAATCATAAATGTGAACATATAGTTCTCACATTTTAGATTTCTAACTTAAGAATTAGATTTATATATCACAAGGTATACATACAAAATTTATACCTTAAACACCCATAATATATATAATATTACATTTTTATATAAGATACTTTTATTCTCTTTCACTGTAATATGTTTTGTTCAAAATTTGTTAAAATCAACGGGTGTATGATTGTTTCCTTTACGAAAAAAAACGATTTTTAAATAGACATGTAATTGCACATAGGCGCGTTTATGTACGTGTCTACGTATATGTATTTAACTATGATGATTTAATGTATTGTTTTATTATTTGATTGATATATTAAAAAGGTATTTATATGACCCGCCGTTCCGTTTAAGAATTCACTGACGGCTCAGAATATGCAGTAGTAACTCAAATATACCGTTAACCACATTTTTACGTAGCAGTGATTATTTATTTTTTCTTTAACTAAAAATTTGTAAAAAAATTTATAAATATACCATCTACTGATACGTTGATTAAAAGTTTCACGTATATTACGATCGTCGTTTACATGATATTTCCAACCACTTGCTCTACGAAATATTTAAATAATTATATTACAGTATTCTTGATTTTCTTGATTATTCACTTATATATTTACAGAATATAAAAGTGTTTATATTAATATTGTGGATATCAGAATATTATAAATGAATGTATTTGTAACATTAACCAAATTATGTACTCCAAATATTTTTGGTTATTTCCATTATTTGCATCAATATATTTATTATATTCATATGATTATTTAACCAAAATCAAGTTTAATGATTTTATGCAAATAGGAATAGATATTGTTGATAATATTTATTCTGGGCTAAATGACAACACTAATTTAGTTCCAAAACCTGAAGTGAATCAAAGAGTATTTACGCAAAATGAGCTTAAAAAACACACAAATTTGGAAAATAGATTGTATATTTCAATATTAGGTCAAGTTTTTGATGTTACAAAAGGCGCAAAACATTATGGGCCTGGTGCAACATATCATGTCTTCACTGGTATAAGTTGTGATAAGATTGTGTCTATTGTATGTTTTGTTTTATATATATAATAAATGCATTTATAGGTCGTGATGCGTCATTAGCTTTTATCACGGGAGAATTTAATGATGAAGGCTTAACAGATGACATTTCTTCATTAGTTCCTAAAGAAATTAAGAAGTTAAACGATTGGGTAGAATTCTATAACAAAAATTATATTTACAAAGGTACTTCAAATGTTGTGCATCAGTTTATTTACCTAAAATGAACATATAATGTAAATATATTTCTTTTGATATAGGAAAACTAAGCGGTAGATATTACCATGAAGATGGTACTCCAACCGAAGAATTTCACAATGTACAGAAAATGTTACAGAATGCCAAAAAAATGGAATCTGAAGAAGAACATAGAAAAAGAATGTTTCCTCCATGCAATATAGAATGGAATCCATCTTCTGGAACTGTAGTATGGTGTTCCAAGAAAAGGTAAATATATTTTACACATTGCTGTCAGAATTTTTTAAACTCTTTTTTTTAGTGGGGGAATAGAGAGAGAATGGATTGGTGTACCAAGAATGATATTTGAATCTCCCGATTCACAACAATCTAGGTGTGTATGCGTTAAACTTGATAGTGAAGAATACAAAGAAGCCAAAAACATATTCAGAGAATATGTTGATTGTCCAGAAACTTCAATAAAATGCACTGCGAAGATAACTAATAAATAACAAAGAAATCAGTATTTTACTATTCTATGTAAATATTTACTTAATTTTACTATTTTTTATAACGCATTTATGAAACTATATATTTTGATACTATGAATATAATTATACATCATTCATGATACAAAATATAATATACTTATACAAAACAATATACCATAATAGTCATTATTTTTATTTCCATTAGGTGTAAAATATTAAATAAATACTTAGAGCATGTGTTTGTTTCATCAATCGTTCTTATGTAATTTTATGTAACTTTACAAATCTATTGAACATTTTTTTTATTATCATTCAAGATATATTTCATTGCACTTAAAAAGTGCATGATAATATCATTAGAAAAGTGTAATAAAAAACAGATATACAAAATACAAACACTATGTTGTTATTACTTAAATACACAGTTATATAAATATATAAAGGAAGTATAATCAAGTCAATGTTACATATAAATAAACCAAGTAAATTTGAATGCCTAAGATCTACTTACATCAAAATAATATTATATGTAAACAACAATTTAATATTATTCTGGTGTGCACAGTATTATTAAAAAAAATAACATTTTTGGTAATGTCTGTCTTGCTCAATAATCATATGTAATACAATTGATATTATATTTTTATTGAAAAACAGTATGTGATGTGAAAAGTTGATTCTTTTATAGCTATTATTATATCACCATAAGTACTCTTTTATATTATACAGAAGATTGAAAAGTAAAGAGAAAAGTAAACCACTTAAATTTATTAATGAAAGAAAAATAATTTCAATAAATATGTCTTGTTACAACTTATTTTGCATTGTACATATGAATACTTTTATATTTTATCATTCTGTCTCACTATTAATTTTCGCAGGAGATTCTGCTCTAATACTATTAAAATGGTCAAGCAGCATCTGCGTAGATGCACTTCTTCGATGAGATTTCAATCCAAATACTTTCTTAATTTTTGCTCTTCTTTTCCTTAATTTACAATCTGAAGGTTTATCTTGAAACTGTATTGTACGTTTATATCTCTTTACACTCATGTATGTAGTGTTCTCACTTAAGTCATCTTTTTCTTCATAAATTGTTTCCAAAGTGTTTAATTTTCGTTTCTCTCTCCTATTTAAATAATAATTCTTAACATCTACTTCTCCTCTGGCTTTATTCTGTTTGTCATTCGTCTCCATCTCTGTACCAGTTCTTTTTCGTGGTCTTAAACTGCATCTAACAGTGTATGTAAATGTTTTGTGTAATAGAATTATTTATTCATCTTATTTAAGATATATTACGACAAATAATAATATACCTTCTATTGAGACCTTCACTTGAATCAGCGCTAGGTATTCTTCTGATTATTCTTTTTTTTTCTGGTTGTGATAAATTAGTATTTACTGTGAGCTTTTCTAAACTAGCTGTTATAGCAGGTAAGTTTGCATCACCTACAACATGCTTGTTTTGTCTAAAAAGAATAATTTATATTAGCAATAAGCTAATTTTTTAAAGGTCACATAACTGAGAGAAACAAAGTATGAACATTGTTAATTCGGTAATTCCTTAATTTTAAATTCTCTTTTTAATATCTTCTAAATATAATATTCGTATGTATGATTCTTAAATTTTAAATTGATTAAAAGCATATAATTTTGAAACAACTTACATTGTGTCCGATTGCGTTTCATCCATTTGTAAATTGAAATATTTAAACACTAATAAATTATTTTATGATATTATTCACTAAATAGAATTATATCCGAATAATAAATTTTATTCAAAGCATTTGTTACGACAACTTCAAGTACAATGTATTTAGCATAACCACGCTAAATGTTTTTAACACCATCAAGTAGCTAATGATTCTTATAGTTTACATTCACGACCCTACCGAAAATTTAAATCACTCACTTATTTACAATACTCTCAGCCATAACAAAAAATGTCAGTCGTTGTTTATATGTTGTATAAAGTACAGAAAATTGAACGTAACATTTTTATGAGAAATAGTTTCTCATAAACACTTCATGATCATTGGTCGTTTTTTATTTTGATAAATTCACCTCACTCTACCGATCCACAACGGACTTATACAGAGGCGAAACTCCGGCGTTTTTCGTGCTGATTTCCAGCGCGTATACAGTATACAGAAATGTTCCATGAACGTAACTCAGAACTTCTGCGATATCGAATACGCACAGGCACATTACCCCAAAAGCATACTAGTTTTCTTTGTGAACTATGATTGAACGATTGTCAAAGATCGAATGTTTATGTTGTTAATGTTTGTACACAGACGAGATATAAGATAGTGTAGTACCCCCCAGAGCTGTGACAAAATTTTACATTGCATGTTATGTCTATCCTATATCTCGTCTGTGGTTTGTGCAAGAAATCTGATTTTTAATGTATACAAGTGTCAGAAATATTTATATATGGAATTAATTTTGACAAAATATATAAGTAATCTATCCAAATTGATAAAGTCATCTAAATGGAAACATGAAGAAAGAAAGAACGGCCGATAATAGCCGACCATATAAATTATAAGTATTTTAAAAAAATTCATATTGTAAATGATTATTAATTAGTATTGACATTTATACAAATAAAACTGCACGTAGATTCATTTATATAAAATACTAAAAATGCTTTGAAAGTTCATAAACATATCGTTTAAATCTAATTTTGTTTGTGCACTTAGGTTATGTTTACAAAATATAGTACTTGTGATTTCTAGTATTTTATTTCACCTAACAAAAATATTGATAATTATTTAGTGTTTTTTTCTGTTTTACGGCTCACCAAATATTAAGCCTCACAGGTATAAGTTTCCAAAGGAAGAGTATTATTGTAAGTATTGAAATTACTTTTAAAAAAAGTTCATTTAATTACATTATGAATATGTCATTTATAAACAGGGCTTTGTTGAATTGACAATTGTTCCACTTCGAGATACTCTGAGACTTGTGAAATTAAATGCAAAACAATGTAGAATTTATAGAGTATGTTTAAATGATACTTATGAAGCACCATTTCAATATTTTGATCCATTTCTGGATATTTGTCAAGGAGATGGAAAACAGTAAGTATTTATGCAATAAATATATGTAATGTTTTCATATTTGTAAAAGTGTATCATAATACATTCATATTGTTTCTATAGACGATCTTTGGAATTTTTCTCAAATATGCATTTAGCAGCAGCACAAAGAGTGGATCCTGATAATAATGCAGGCGAATTAGTCGTTCAAATTCCACCTGATGCAGCGCATTTAGTTGCTGAAGGTAGAAGTTTAAGACTTAGCATTGAATTTTCTTTAGAACAACCTCAAGGTGGAGTACATTTTGTTGTACCAAATTGCGAAGGAACTTTAGCAGAGGTAAAAGGAATATATTTTATTTATTCAATAAATAATTTCATATATTTTAATACATATACATTTTTTTTTTAGAGAGGTGCACATATGTATACATATAGTTATGAAAATTCTTCAAGATTATGGTTCCCTTGTGTTGATAGTTTTGCTGAACCATGTACTTGGAAATTGGAATTTACTGTTGATGATTCCATGACAGCTATATCTTGTGGTGATCTCGTAGAAGTTGTGTATACTCCAGATATGAGAAGAAAAACATTTCATTATGTTCTTAACACACCTGCATGTTCTCCAAATATTGCACTTGCAGTTGGGTACGTTTGTGAATCAATAATACATGTAGAATAAATATAAAATTAACAATAACAACCGTTATGTTACATTTTAGACCATTTGAAATATTTGTGGATCCATACATGCACGAAGTGACACATTTTTGTTTACCACAATTATTGCCATCATTAAAAGTGTCTGCAAAATATATGCACGAAGCATTTGAATTTTATGAAGAAACTTTATCAAATAGGTATCCTTATTCTTGTTACAAACAAGTATTTGTAGATGAATTGGATGAAGATATTAATGCATATGCCACTATGAGTATTTTAAAGTTAGTAAAAAACAATACTAATATCAAATAATTGAATAAATAATATGAACTAAAGTGTGATTCATTTCTAGCACAAATCTGTTACACTCTACTGCAATCATTGATCAAGTTTATATTACAAAAAAAGCTATGGCTCAGGCTGTTGCAGAACAATTTTTTGGTTGTTTTATATCTATGCAAAATTGGTCTGACACGTGGTTACCTAAAGGTATATCGACATATTTGACTGGTTTATATGCAAAAAAGTGTTTTGGAAATAACGAATACAGAGAATGGGTTCAATCGGTAAATAGCTTTTTCTACTTTCTTCTACTAAAATAAAATGGTTCGAATCAACATTATTAATGCTTTTAGGAATTACAAGAAGTTGTAAAGTATGAAGAACAGTTTGGTGGCATAATATTAGATCCTTCTCAACCACCAGCTCCATTACCTATTGCTGCTAACACACCAGCACCCACACCAAGAGCTCCAGACCCTGGTTTCTATTTCCCAATAAGAAATTTACATACAATGTCCCCGAAGTACATAGAAGTACTTCGTAAAAAAGCACATTTAGTAATCAGAATGTTAGAACATCGAATTGGTCAAGAATTACTCCTACAGGTACTTTAAATATTTCTACTATAATTATTACTATACTGCTTGGAAATAGAAATTAATTTTTTTGTATTTTAGGTTTTCAATAAACAATTATCTCTTGCCGCCAATGCCGCGCAACAAAAGATTGATTCTGGACTCTGGTCCCATATGTTAATTAGTACAAATGTGTTTACCAAAGCTATCTTTACAGTAACAGGTAAAGATATGGCAGTGTTTATAGATCAATGGGTCAGGACTGGTGGACATGCGAAATTTAGTTTAAGTTTTGTATTTAATAGGAAAAGGTATCACTAAAAACCTTTGGTGTTCAACATGCTTAATTTTTTATATAGTTGCTTATTAATATAAAATATGCAGGAATACGGTAGAATTAGAAATTCGGCAGGACACCACGAATCAGAGAGGAATAAGAAAATACGTAGGACCACTTTTAGTTAACATACAAGAATTAGATGGTACTTTTAAACATACTTTACAAATTGAAGGGACAGTTGCAAAAGCCGATATAACGTGCCACAGTAAAAGTCGTAGAAATAAAAAGAAAAAGATTCCATTATGCACTGGAGAAGAAGTAGACATGGATTTATCTGCTATGGAGTAAATATTATATTATGTCAGAAAAAAAATCATATTTTATTAAACCTATTAATACATAGCTTTTTATTTATAGCGATTCTCCTGTATTGTGGATAAGATTAGATCCCGAGATGACACTTATGCGTGCTGTTCAAATTGAGCAACCCGATTACCAATGGCAATATCAGTTAAGACACGAAAGAGATGTTACTGCACAATTGGAAGCTATAGAAGCATTGCAAAATCATGCAACACCTCCTACGCGATTAGCATTGACGGACACTATTGAAAACGAGCATTGTTATTATAAAGTTAGACTACGAGCCGCACATTGTTTAACTAAGGTTACTTAAATTTCGGTTTATTCATATTGTAAAATTATTAACAGAGTATTTATACCGAGCACATGTACTTGTACAGGTAGCAAACGCAATGGTTGCAACATGGGCAGGTCCACCAGCAATGTTAGCCATATTTAGAAAATTATTTGGATCAGCATCATGTAGACGTATAATTAAACAGAATAACTTTTCAAATTTTCAGCATTATTTTCTTCAAAAGGTTCAAATAATATTTTTTTAATACAGATTATTGTTTTCTGATATTTTATGATATGTTCTTATTTATATTATCATTTTAGACTATACCTGTGGCAATGGCCGGTTTGCGAAATGCTCATGGTATATGTCCACCAGAAGTCTTAGCATTTTTAATGGATTTATTTAAATACAATGATAACAGCAAAAACAGATATTCGGATAATTATTATAGAGCAGGTTTAATTGAGGCTCTTGGAGCTACTGTTACCCCAGTAATTAGTATACAACAAGGGTATGATAAATGAACACTAAAATACGAATTTTTGTATTACCATAATTACACGTTCAATATGCTTTTTTTAGGACAGCTATTTATTCCATTACTGCTGAATCTTTATCAGTTGACACTAAAGCCATATTAGAAGAGGTCACCAGAAATTTGAACTTGGAAAAATTATTACCGTGTTATAAGTACACCGTCAGTGTTGCTTGTCTAAAGGTTATACGAATTTTACAAAAATTTGGTCATCTTCCGAGTAATCCCCACCTTTTCAGAGCATATGCTGCATATGGTCAATTTATAGGTATATAAAGCATTATTAATTATGACATTTATTAATATTATATATACCAATAAACATTAATGGATACTACTGATATATTTCTTCTACATCGGTTTAGATGTCAGAATTGCAGCATTAGAGGCGTTGGTTGATTTTACGAGAGTGGATGGCAAGTGGGAAGACTTAGAATTTCTGTTAGATATGATTGAAATGGATCCACACCCCGGTGTACGGCATAGATTAGTTAGGCTAATGGTTGAAAATCCACCATTTGAAAGAGCACATAAACACCGTTTGGATCGTCCTGAACTTGTTGATCGTATTTGGAACTTAATTAAGTACGTATTAATTTATGTAGGATGTAACTTAATTTTCTTGATATTTAATACATTTTTTCAGTGGTATGCTTTCTCATGACCCCAAAATACGGTGCGATTTGGTTGATTTATACTATACTTTGTACGGTTCTAAACGTCCATTATGTTTGCCTATTCCTGAAATTGCTGCCATTACTAAACCTAAGAAAGTGGGGCCACAAAGTCCCGAACAAGATGTACGTGCTACAATCGTAATATATGTGAAGTAAACTCCAACTGCAACAGTAAATAACAATTATAATGTGTGAATTTTAGATGAAACCAAACATATCACACGTAAAACATGAAGCGCCAATAGTGGAAGTGGATAATACAAGCACGTTGGGGAAAAGAAAACCTTCTCCTAGTCGAGATGCTCCAGGCCCTTCAAATTCAGTGGATTATGGCCCTGAAGTAAAACGACAAAAACAGGGCCCTAATGTAGGATATATTACAGATGTGTGTCAACTTAATATCCTAATTATTAATTATACGCTTTTATGCGTTAAATAGGATGAACGAGCAAGTTCCGTGACTAGCGATGGGAAAGTCAAATCGGAATATTATAGTGATAATTCTGCATCATTACCTGGAATCATGGGAACTCCAGGACCAGTAGGATTTGAACCAGGAATGTTCAAAAAAGAACTGGATGATCACAAACAGAAAAATGATTCAGCCAATAAGGTAAATAGTGTTAATGATACTTTATTACCAATAATATACTTATGTAACCTATATATTCTGTATGTGTTTATATTTAAAATTATATTTTGCAGAACAAGAAAAAGAAAAAAGATAAAAAGAAACATAAACACAAACATAAACATAAGCATGATCATAAACATGGTAAAGATAAGGAGAAGAAAGACAAGGACAAAGACAAAGATAAAGAGAAAGTCAAGGAAAAGGAAAAAGAGAAAGACAAAACTAAAGATTCCTCTAGTTTAAAAATCAAAGAGGAGACTTTAAGCTCTGCTAGCTCTAGTCTCAGTCCTGATACAGCAACTGTCACTAATGAATTCATTTTTCCATAGTAACAAAACGAATCATCAGATTATAGTCTTTTAAGACTAATATTGTTTATATTTTATATAATTTTTATATAACTTAAAACTTATATTCTAATGTAAATAAGAAATTTTTTAAATATATTGATACATAATGTTTTTCTCTAATTTTGTTTAATAAAATTGATAAAACTAAGCTACACCAAAGAATTATTTAAAATATATATCTATGTCCATACTTTCAATTACAACTTTTTGAGAACAGGACTGTGATATAATGAATAACCTTTGCATAAAGTGTACACACAAAGTGCACGACAAAAGTCTGTTCCCTTTAAAGATAAATATTTCGATTATTTCATAGATCTACATATTATTTTAATACCTACTTTTAAACAAAACTGTACTAAAAGAATGATGAATATAATTATTAGATACTTATGAAATAAAATGATAATTTTATATAAATGGAAAAAATGCGTTTACAAATATAAAGTTCTCTTTCCATTCCTTTTTACTAAGTATCAAGAAATAATTTAATAATTAAAACAATATTAATCGAATATATACGTAAGTACTTTGAGTACGCTATATCGACACTAGAGACGCGCTCATATTTAAATACTTCCTGCGTATTAACTAGGATGGCGTCCGTGGTGTTGCGGCAATTTCGAAGGGAATAGTGAGTTTTGAAAATTTTGACAACGACCTCGAGAATGGCAGATAATCAACAAAGTCGATTTGAAAAGTCTCTCGGCCTGTTAACAACTCGTTTTGTTACTTTATTGCAGAAAGCGAAAGACGGTGTCCTTGACTTAAAAGTAGTAAGTGATTTCGTGAAAGCTTCGATATAAAAAGTTAACCTGCCTGCTAGGTTAAGTTGTCGCGGGCGTACACGCCATTTCTAGCTTGCGGGAATTTTGAAACAAGTAACACTAAAGCCAATCTTTCTGATTTCAATCAAGTACTTTTCTTTTAAAGATCGTGCCCACAATGCAGCATATTCTAATCTAATGTTATAAAACGGATATGTTATAAATTTTCATATCTCAACGTGATGTCCTACATAACCTAAAAGGAAATAAAATGTATAACGATTATAGCTGGTAACATGTGACAATAAATTTATAATATTTTAGGCGGCTGATATTTTAGAAGTGCGACAAAAAAGACGAATTTATGATATTACCAACGTTCTAGAAGGCATTGGACTTATAGAAAAGAAAAGCAAAAATAGTATCCAATGGAAGTATGTTCTTTTTGTATTCATTATTTATTGGAATGCCATATTTCATATGATTTTCGTACCAATTATATAAATTTTCAAATAGTCTACCACACTTCTTAATGATATTTTGAATATATTAACAGAGGAGCTGGTCCAGGTTGCAACACTCAAGAAGTTGGTGAAAAGTTGACTGATTTAAAAGATGAGATTAAAAAATTAGAAGATCATGAACAGTTGTTAGATATACATACTCAGTGGATTCAACAAAGTATAAAGAATATAGAAAATGACTTAATTAATAGGAAATATGCATATATTACTTATGAAGATGTAAAGGAAAACTTTTCCGATGATTTTGTATTAGGAATTCAAGCTCCTCCTGATACAGAATTAAGTGTACCAAATATATTGCAGGTATCTTATCTTTATATTCAACTCTATGTTTATTATACATTTATAAACAATGTACAACATTTAATTACATGTGTATATCCTTAATTTTTAGACATCTGAAGAAGAAGAAAAAGAAATAAATTATGAAATGTTTCTGAAAAGTAGTTCAGGAGAAATTAAAGTGTATATGATTCAACCAGAATTAGCTAAAACATATGATAATAAAATATTAGAAATGAGATTACAAGAAGTAAAAGGTACTAAAAGAGGGAAAGAGGAAGAAGAAAAAAAAGAAGAAACAAATGTTAAACCAAAGAGAAGAGTAGGAAGGTAAGAGAAACAGTAATTTATAAATGGAATTAATTGCTCTACTCGCATCAAAAATAGTAAAATTATATTTTTGATCTGCAAAGAGCAAACATTAATTGATCTTGTATGGGGATAAATAGATGTCAAGGAAAAATCTATTTTTTTGGTATAGATCATACAAATGTAGTAATATTTATAACGTATTTCATATTATATTGATTTAAATATTCTTAATCAATTTTCCTATTTAGGCGACCAAAAGGAGCTAGTAAACCGGATCCTATTGTTTCTGATGAAGACGAAGAAGAAGATTCAGAGTTAATAGAAGCAAAAATTGTTCTTCGTGATGTTAGCATGTCAGGTAAGATAATACAAGTTGCTGTAGGATAAATGCAAGAAATAATATTTTACTGTACCATGCATTACAATTTCAGATATTGCTCAAAAAGACTTAGAATTATTTGATCAATTTTATTCAGACAGTAAGTAAAATAATTGTTGATCCTTACATTGCTATGTAATAGTGAATGCTTCTTTATGATTTTTTATTACAGTTTATGGTCCATTAGTAAGATTAAGTCCACCGCCTAGTGAAAAGGATTATCATTTTAACCTAAGTGAAAATGAAGGAATTTGTGATTTGTTTGACATCACAGCGAAATGAGTAATAAGTTGTATAGCTTAAATGACTGGATGGTTTATGAATTGGACAGTGCCAATAATGTGCAAAATCACATGAAAAATTTGTTGACAATTTCTAAAGGCTGTTCTATGTATATAATTTTAAAGAATGGATGCGGATAACGATCATTGGATACATGCAGTATTTTTTTATTATTAGAAATAGAAAAAAATAGAACAGAGTTATAAAAAAAAAGAAGAAAATGTTTATACAGTCGATTTTGGTTGATTCTTTATTTGATAATGTAATAAAATACCTTAATTGATTCTTTGTAATCTACAGTATGTGATTTCTTTGTATAGGACTGCGTAGAAATTTTAACCTTATATGCATACAACACGAAAATGTTGTTGACATGTGATTGTTACATATAAGGGTAATATTTTTACAAACAATGTACTACAGTTAACATTGTTTTTAGAAATATTTGAGTATGCATTGTTTATTAAACTATGTAATTTTTTTACATACATAGTTTCGATTGAAATCATTCAAGACAATACAGATGTATATTATGTATAATTGTATGAATTTGAACGGGTAGAACATATATAACATTGACAGGATTTATTATATAGTATGAGTACCAGTGTACTCATCTTCTTTTTATAATATACTTTCCATATCGTATATTGTATGTTCGTTATTGCATTCAATGACATTTAATTAAGTTTGTGAATATGTAGTTATTTAAGGAATACATAGAGAGGTGAAAATATGGTACAAGCAAAATGACCAAGAATCTAATTTACACTAGAGAAAAAAGTTACATTTTGATGCTGTTGTATCTACTGTATAATTACAAAAAAGTTTTTAATTCACAAGCATATTGTTCCCTATACCTTATGATATCCTACTTAATCTATGTAGATTAACTACCTGTCTATACCTTATTTATTTCACTGACATCACGTGCATGCCAATATTGTTTAATCTCGTTGCATATCGCTTAGTCATTATGTAGTCATTTATGTGATATATCAAACTAACGAGAAAACTGCACTCGAAAGACACCAAATTACCAAGGACAGATAAGAATGGATCGACCAGTTTCGTCATCGTTGGTAGCTTTGCGCGAGTCGCTTATAAGTCTCACCTCAGTCAGTATGCGTGTGTTTCTGTGGTAGGGAATCATTTCCAGATGTGTCAGTCTTGTGAAATTGCTACTCCATACAAATTCGCGGTACAGCGAGTTTTCTCGCGTCACATTCGAACAAACCGCGGTAACGCAATCGACATTTCGTCCTTTAATCCGAAGAAGGTACGATGCATGAA